TAACACTCTTCAGAAATCCTTGGAATGGCTGTTTGCAACTTTTGGAAACTCACAATCCTTTGGAAATCTGGGCTTGTAGGGGAAATGGTAAAGTCCTGCTGGAAGCTTTATTGCATATTACATTGTGGATCATCTACGACAGAAGAATATTTAGGGGAAAAAATATTAACACCCCTAAAATGTCTTTTTCCCAGCCCATTAAACATGGTGTAACCATATGGAAAACTTGGTATTTCTTTTGTAAAGGACCACAGCATTCCCTATGGACAACAGGGCAGCAATAAAAGACCAATCAGCTGAGTGAAATGCAGAAAAATAAATATATCAAGAGTGAAGGTTTTAGTGCTTCATCTCGAGCATTTAGATGTGGTACAGGATTGGAAATTTTGTTTCTGATCTTCTTTAAACAAGAACAACTCAGAGCCATCTGAACTGATTTGCTTAATGTGCTGTTCAGCATTCACAGCGTAAATTGAATTGTTAGCCTCTCTGTCTGTGCATTTGAATGTTTTGATTCTAATATTACCAGCAGAGCAACCTTCCCTAACTGAATTGTTCTCACAAGTAATGTTGATGCTTTGCACTCCCACTCAATTGATGTCATTGGGGCTACTGACAAGAAGGTGCCTGTTAGAGTGAACAGGTTGAGACCGTGTAAGAGTGGAAAATAAGAAAGATATCATTTTTCATCAGTGCCCTGTATTTCATAAATTCTTATTTTGTCGATTTCTGGTTACTCACTTCCTGCGCTTCTGACAGGGATGGGCTTGCAGATGCTTTACCCAGAGCTAATGCTGCTGAGGGGCTGGTTGGGATGTGTGGATCTTCCCACATGTGTAGAATGTGTAGATGTGTAGAAAGGCCCATCAGGAAGCCTTTGCAGTTCATCATCTGCCCCATGACACTTGTGTGTCTGCACAGTCTTTGTGTCCAATACTGGGAGAAAACTCATATCACACCGTGACAGCTGGTGCAGATTGTCCACAGTGCGGGAAATGAGCATATTGTGGGGTGGCTGAGCTTCTCCCAAGTCATCTCTGGGCCCATATGGACTCACTGTAGGTAAATACCTATTTCAATACAATGGACTCGAAATCACAGAGAAACATGCAGCAGATTGACAGCTGGGGAATTCTGGAGAGTAGTTGAAGGCAGGAGTTGTTTGGGAAGTCTGAAGCTGCAAGACCTTGTGGGGCTGGTGTTTCAGTGCTGCTGTGGGGAAAGACATTTCCAAGTGTGTCTCTGGTGCAAACATTAGCACACAGCTGGTGCCTGGGTCTCTGTAAGTTGGATTTTGGTAGCAAACCAGAAAGCCTGCAGCAGAGACCATCAGGGACCAGATGAGGTGGAGAAGTGACAGTGCAACCGTGTCCACCAAAAGGAGGGAATCTGCAAAAGGTGTAGAAAACAGAGTGGAAGACTGGATATAGAATTTGGGATATAACAGAAGTGAATTTGTCACTGCTAGATCTCAGCAGAGTCTCAGAGGCCCATGAATGGAGAGGCAAGACTGCTCTGGGATCCTTCGTGTGTGAGTAACTGTTGTGACCTGCGTGGTTTTCAGTCCTTGACAGGGTTTGATGCTTCATACGTAGGCAGTTGCCAGCGGAAATTTTGCTTACACCGCAATTTTCCATTTGCTGATGGATTTCAGACAGATGAGTGCAAACTGTTCTCTCTGCAACTCACGAGATAATTTTACAGTCAGTGTGAACACTGCGAACCTTCTAATTTTAATTTTTTTTTTCTCTTAATAACAGTTTGGCAAATCAAAGTGTCTATTTAGTTAGGCAGGAAAAACACCTAGGAACCATAAAAAAAAATACACAGGCATAAAGCTGGACTCCAAGCTGGCTGTGTCTCAGATTAGATATTCTCAGTGATTAGAGGTATTGACCATTTTCCATTTTATCTTGTCTGCATTGAAACAGAAGTGTTGAAGATGATTTTAGAGGGAAGGGACTAACACACACACACATACAGTTCCTAAGTACTTCTATTTACACAAATTCCTTTGCCATATTTTTCATCATGTTAGGGCAATGGTCATGAAGGTAAATTCAGAAACCTGGGCACTACTGAGAAGTCAAATGGGGCTGAAAAAATGAGAAAGTGAATATTTGTTGTTTGTACGGTAGAAGTTAAGGAGACATGAGTGCATTTCTTGCCTTTCAAATAATTTCTATTTTAAGCCAAGAACTCTGATGGTGGGACAGCAAGTAAGAGGTAAGGATTTTCTCAGAGAATAAATTTTAATTAGTTCAAAAAAAAAGGTAATTTTTGAGACATTCACCCAGATTGGTTTATCTACAATAAATAATAGAAATAAACTCTCCCTCTCTACTTCTGTCTTGCACATATACGAGCACACGCAAGCCCAGGTTAGCAAAACCACACTTTCTTTTGTTCTCTTTGTTCCCTTTGTTCACCGTGCAGTAATGAAAAATGACAGCCATATTTATTGTAACATTCCTCCAGGAATGCAGAGATAATTACCTGCCCTTAGCATGGGAGAGGAGAACGAGCATGAGCTCCATCTCCTTCCAGCTCCCTGGAATCCAACCGATGCACTGGCACGGAATGTGAAGCGGAGGATGTCGGGAGCAGAGGAGATCTGCTGCCTTGTGTGGTTGTTTTTAGGGTTCATGTTTTTGTCTGTTGCAAAACAGACAGCTGAGGAGAGCTCAAACATCTCTGTTAAAAGGGGATTGGTTTGAATGCCACCTGCATTTTCACTCATTTCTTAAGGAAAGACCTCTGTGTGTTCATTTAAAATAGGCTTGACTTTATTGGTAATACCACTGTTTTCATGAGGACTTTCTCAGGGTCTGCCTTCAACCCTGGCAATTTTTGGAGTGTTTCTGCTTTCTATTAAAGAAAACCCAAACTTCATCCAGTGTGCTTTTAAGAGGATTTGTGTAGTTTTTGAAAAGCACTACCTTAACAGGCATTGAAACTGAAAACCTCTAATCTAACAAAATAAAATAGTCATTTTGCTGCTGTAAGAGTATTTGTGAGCTGGTTCCTGTTCACCCTCCTGGTGTGTGTGTGTGTTGGTGCTGAGCTACAGCCTGGGCATAGGAATCAGAGAATAGTTTGGCTGAAAACCAGAATACTTTGGTTGGAAAGGACCTTAAAGCTCATCTCATTCCAAGCCCGCTGCCATGGGCAGGGACACCTTCCACTAGACCAGGTTGCTCCAAGCCCCATCCAGCCTGGCCTTGGACACTTCCAGGTGTGGGGAAGCAGACGTGCTTCCCTTCTCAGCCTGTGGGTGGACGAGCTCTCCCTGTGGTGGGAGCCCTGGGGTCAGGAGGGCTCCCCTTCCCTCCCTGCCTCTACTTGTTTGGGAAAACCCCCCTGGATGAGCATGTCCCCATATCTTAGACTCAGTGCAGAAAATTGTGGGAAACTATTGCTTTTACTCTTTTGCTCAGTGAGAACAACCCATCTCAGTGAGATCCGTTCAGGTGCCTCCTGTGGCTTTTTATGATTATCTTCTATTTGTTCAGGTATAATGGAAATTCAAAATTTGGCGGATGAAGGATGAATTGGTTGGTGCTATCATGATGGGTTAGTAATTGAAAAATAATAGAAAATATTATATAATGTTATATTATATTTTATTATATTAATCAAAGTACCCAAGTGTTTAAGGAACCTGATTCTCTTTATCCTTCCTCTCCCCTTTTTCTCTCTAGCCCCAGGAAGTACTTCTGTTCCTACAGCTCATATTTTCAAGTTTTTAAATAAGTGTTTAATGGGTTTTATAAAAACACCTGAGCAGGTTAGATAGGTTAGAATTCCCACTGATTTCACTGACCTCTCTGTAGATGGAATACAGGCTCCTATATCACACAAGCTTATTTGAAAATATTAAAGTGTGCTGGAAAATATTAGTCCTATTAGATTTGTGATTTAAATTCTGGGAGGCACCATCAGAGTTAGACTGGTGCATAGAAATATAAATAAAAATAAAAACATATATGTGTGTTAGTACCTGCCGCAGTGTGTGTGTGTGTAGTCTTTATTGGTGACTAAAAACCCAGTGCCTGCTCTTTGGTTTTCCATTTTAGCTGGCCTATTATCAGAGATTTCTGGAGTGTGAGTTTCATAAGTAGAGGTTATCATACATTGCAGGCCATCTCTCCTGCTGGGGAGCAAAATGAAGGTTTGATAATGAGATCGCCCAAAGGCAGATAAGAGCTCCAGCTTGCTGAACAGTCCCTCAAGGTTTCCTGTGATGGCAAAAAGGAGGGAATGCAATTTATTATCCTCCTCTCCTTGTACCTTCCCATTGTTTGAGAAGTCAAAGCAACAAACTACACGGGTTCAAAATAAATAAATTAATAACCAGAGCAGTGGTGTGGTGTTGTTTTGCTCTGAGGAAGAAGGTCTGTGATTTGCTCTAACACCGTGAAGGAAGTCTCTGAACTCCAAATCCTGAAATTCCATTTAAAGGACAGGCTCTCTCCCCCTCTCCTCCCACCTTCTCCCTGCGAGGATGGATATTCTAAAATTGAGTCAAGTGCTTTATCTCGATAGAGGGTGGAGGGTGGCCCTGTAACTGCTGCTGATAACCTCCCCATCTCCAATTCTGTTTGCTCTTCTTTCATGCTAAATGCTGCAAAGTGTGTTACAGTGAAGAGAAAGGTCAGATTTGAGCCGTAAAACACGGAAGATTCAGCGCTGATGTTGCCACATCATTAAGTCACAGCATCTTCATGCTTATGTTTTCTAGCACATATGGTATATAAAATCACCTAGTGTTTCACAACCCTCTTAAATAATTAGGCACAACAGGGTTTGCTGGGTGACCACCTGGATAAAGTCAAAACAGTGGCATCTGCATCAACCAGATGGGAGTCTGCTCTTCGCTGCCATCAGGAAATGGACAGCCAACTTCCACTCGAGTGAACCAAAAGCTACCTTCTTCCAGATAAGAAAGGGAAAGGACAGTGCAGGAGAGAGCAGTAAATGTGTCTTCCTTCAATTTTCAGGTTCCTGAGTCTCTACTGAAACCAAAAAGAGGAGATCCTGTTCCCCAGCTGGAGAAGCAGCAGGGAGGTAAGTTGAATTTGTACGTCATCAGCAAACCACATACCTAGGAATGACATTTTGAAGGCAGGTTGAGCAAAGGTTTATATTTTTATTTGGTTTTGTCATGTAAAAAAAAAAAAAGGAAGTGGGAGAGAGAGAATATTAGCAATTTAGCATGAGGCTCCATTAGATCAAATCAGTGCCAGTGATAGTCACTTATTTCCTCCATTTCATAATGATTTACTCTATAAATTAATGTCTGCCTATTTAAACACCCTCAGTGATTCAGCACTGGGTACCATGGCAATATGTGACAGGGACTAGGGCTGAACCCACCAGTCATATGGCTCTCAGTGCTGTCATTATGTGTGCTGGTAATGGGGGGCTATGTGGGAACACAGACAGATATTATGCAAACATATACTGACTTAAGTATCAATCTGTCACTGGAGTAACTCATGGTAATGGCTCCACCAAAGTCATTACAGAGGAATATGCATTACAGCATGTTAAACATCTATCATGGGTGGAGGTTCAGAGAAGCCATGAGGAAGATGTAAGAAAGTACCCACATCCAGATCTGGAAAGTGCTCAGATATAAGGTTTTTAGTTCAGCAAAGCCCTAAAAGAACATATATTTTTCTTCCCCTTTGCACTCCAAAAAGATGAATCTGAAAAAAAAAAAAGTCTCACAGCTTAAAGAATAAAATAAAAAAAAATCCTCTTGATCTTGTATGTGTGAAGCACAAGCAAGTTAACTGCAGCAGTTCAGTTCCAATCTCTCTTTCACAAACACAGACACAAATAGCGTTTGATGGCGGGAAAGCCTCAGCCTGGCTGTACTATACAGCAGGTTTAGGATGTGATCCCTTCTCTTGTCACCCTTAGAAGTCACTCAGCCTAATTTTGTTGTACAGAAGATGGAGGAGGAGGAGGTAACCTCTGTGTCCCTCTCCCTAACACACCTGGGTTATGAATGTATTAACACATCCATAACCCAGATCAGTCCTTTCTCTGATATAAATCAGCCTGGACACTCAGCACCACAAGCATTCATTTCCCAGTTTTGCATTGGTCTTTCTCTTTCCTGATGAGCAAGATCCTATTCAGGTCCAGAAGGGGTGAGGTACCTCTTGGATAATGCCAGTGACTTAGGATAAGCTCTTTCCCTACCCTGCATGCTTCGGTTGCTTTTCAAGGAGCGCCGCTGCAGGACTGGCTCAGCGATCAAAGGCGGGCAGAGCGTCTGGCATGGGCAGGGGGATATTTCATTGCTCAGTGCAGACTTGGCTGTTTTGCTAGCACAATATACATCCTTCAGCCAATCCAATGGATTAGAAAAGCACTCTGTTTAAAGGTTAAATAGTTGATACTGCATCAACATGTATGGGAGGTGACACACAAATCCAAAGTGATCCGCGGCGGTTGGCTCGGTCTCCAGCCAGCTCGGTGCTGTAGCCAAGGGTAAATGCAAGTGCACAGATTTCTAAAGGGGGTTTACCCACCGCTTACTGCTCAGTTTGGGCACTCAGTGGTGCATTTACTCACTTTTTTGTGTGTGGTAAAGCAGTACTGATACAGCTCACAGCATCCTCAAGCAGTTGTATAGAGGGTCAGGGAAGTGGCTTAATAGACTGAAGGTGCCTGAATGCAGTGTTACAGTAAGTAACCGACTCTCATAAAAAGAGAGACTGGTAAAAGGAAAAGCCCAGGGAACAAACACTGGATCTGTTGTGCTGTTACCATTTAACCTGCATTCACTGCCAATTGAAATGCACTTTACATTACTTCAGTCAGATACTTCAAAGGAAATCCTGGAGATGGGAGCACTTAAGCAAGAGCACTTCTGGTGGTAATGTGTGTATTTGAAAGCCTGGCAATTGGGAAGGTTGTGAATGCCGCGGCGTATCCAAATATAGCTGTGGCTTGTTATATGTAAACGGCAAGACTCATTCTGATATTCCTGCTCCTATTCTGCCCTTCCTTCCCGCAAAACAGCGTGATTCCTCCATCTGTCAGCATCTCCAGTATTTGTGTTTGCACGTAACAATGTTCGCCTGGGCACATTATTCCACACAGCGGCTCGGTGAGAAGAGTTGATGCAGTACCAGGTTATAAAAAGCCCAGAGGAGACATCTGAGGGAAGTATTGCTGCTGCTGCAGTACTGCCTCATCCTTACAGGCCTGCAGGGGAAGGCAGCAGGGGCAGACAAAGCCATGCACAAAGCTGAGGGCAGGCAGAGTGGGTGCAGGGTTGGTGCCAACTTTGGGCTTGTTGGGTTAAGTATAACCAAGATCATTGGGAAAAGCTGTAAAACTAAAGCAGGTGAAACCCTGGAGGCTCCTCAGCTCAATGTAGGTAAATCCCCCTGAGTGAGAGCATCCCCATGGAAGTGCAATGTGGTTTGAGAGGTCTGGGTGTTGAGTCCATACAGCTCCACCACGTCCTGCAATGTGATTTGTGGGGTGTTTCACCCTCAGACCTCGTGCCCTGACTCCTGCACCAGGACTGAAGAGCAGCAGTATCTGCACCTGTAACTAACAGGCTCTTGCACAGTTTGCTGGGACACAGCCTTTCCCAGTTCCCACTGCACACTGGTGCCTGCTGAGACTGGAGCACATGTGAGGTGTGTAGGGAAAGGGGCAAGATGGTAGCTTTTCCGATTATCTTTCCTGGAGAATTGCTATTGCTTCTTTACCTTCTGCATCTGGGTGCAATCTAGCCTCTGTCTTCATTGTTGTGGTGGATGAGTTTAAAAGACAAATTCCTTTTCAGTGCTTGGCAAGAAACATCTTTTTATGGTGTGGGTTCATAAAAAGTATCTGAGAATACCTGGCTGTAGAATAAGGGAGTGTGATCTCCTGGAGCTGGGGAGAAGAGCCACAGCTGCTCTCTTTCCCTCAACACAAATGGCAAGACTGTGAGAACACACTGACCTTTATTCAGCACAATCAAATGCCATGCAAATAAATAGCTAATTCTTTTTAACAGCATTGCTGCTTTTATCTCCCTGTGGCCAAAGCCAGGTAAAATTCCCCTTTGCTGACCTGACTGTGTGTTGACACATTAAGGGCTGTGGCATGCAAAGGAAAGGTCCTGTTTGCTCCATCCCTTCTCTGTCCCTGAGAAAAGATGTTTTTTCTTTCCTCCAGATTCATACATTGGACAGGCAGCTGAAGGGCTGGCACTGGTGCCTTTCCAAAAGGCAAGGAGCAGGAAAGGTGGGAGGAAAGGTTGTGTACCACCACAGTGTCTGGTAATGGTTCCCTCTTTGCAGCAGGAAAATCAGAGGAGTGACTGTCCTGACAACACACACAACAAACCTCATGCAAGTAAGGGATGTAATCAGAGAGCAGCATCACTTTAAATTTACTTCTAGCAGTCTGGCAGCTCCACCTCCTATGAATTTTTTCTTGACTTGCAAAGGCAGTTGCAAAGACTCTGGTCCAGTATCTGGCAATACTGTCTGTGGGGCTTGAAAGTATAATGACATCTATTTTATGCCATTCACATGCTCATCCATAGGGCTGAAATCTTCCTCTTCTGGGAAAAGCCTGCCCCATCCCACATTTCACGCTGATGTCCCAGGCTGGAGTATGATCAGCCTGTGGGTATGGCACAGCTCCAAGCTGCTCAGGTGGTTCTCTAGAGATTTTAGCTGCTAAAAATAAAATTAAAAAAGACTCTTCTGAGCATGTGCAAATAGTAATTTCACAAATGCATTTAGCACGGCCAAATTTGAACAGATTTTTATGGGAACTTCAAAAGGCATATTCCCAGCATAAAATTCTTCCACATCCCCCTGTAATAGTCAAAAATTGAACAGAGCAGATTGCTATTCATTCTTCCTCTTTTTTTTCCCCCTCATAAACCTCTAATCTCTATTACTTGATTTTTTTCAAAATTCCCCATCAGTAAATTTCGGTCCAAACCATAAAGTCCCAATCAAAACAGCTATAAAGGCATGTCTAGTTTTAAGGCTGTTGTCTCCAAAGACCTGGGTAATGTCCCCACTTCTACTCCCCTCACAGAGTTCCTACACGAGGTTCTGACATTTTTGGAGCCATTGATAGGTGCCAGCTGCTCACCCTGGGGTGACACTCTGGTCTTAGAGGGGTGCTGAGCTCCAGGCAGTGTAACAGAACTCAGGGCATGAGACACCCAGCTCTGCATCATCGAGTACTGCAATGAGTGCATTTTAGTGAACTTTCTGTTTGTGACTCAACACTTTCCTCTGTAAAGTGGCAATAATGTCACCCTCCCCCTAAATTAATGCTAAATTGATGAATTCAACAGACAAGACTGAGAGGAAGTTAGTCATTGCCTCCAGAGCAGTGTTTGAGCAGCTTCCTGGAATTAAAATAGAGAATAAATCTTCCTTAAAGGAGCTCTGTGCTTCGTGCATGTGGACATTTTGGAAATATATTTAAGAGCCCTGTGATGAGATGTACAGTTCTTGTCAAGTCCTTTCCTGTCCCAAGAAGTCTGGGATCCCAGTCTTCAAGGTCTGTACTGCTGAGCCCTTCCTGGCATCACCCAAGCCCATGTTTATCCTCTCTGCAATGGAAACCTGGCTGTTTCCTGCTCTCTGGGGTGGCATCCCACAGTCAGTCTGGTTTTCCCCCACTCCCACTTGCTTGTTGAGCCCTGAATACACTCTGCTGATCCATCACAGCCAGCTGGATCCTGACCTGAAGTCCTCCTGATTTAAAGGTGAAAACAATGATGTAAAACATCTTTAGGGCGATCAGGGCTATGATGCAAGTTCATATTTTCGAGTTAAACTTAATGAATAAAAATGCTGGTTCACCAGCCAAAGAGAACTCAGGAAACTAGATATTTTTGGAAATGACAATCTACTGGAAAAAAAACCAAATTCCTTTGTAGAGATTTATTCCTACCTCACAAGCAAAGTAGCTTTGTCACCACTTTATGTATCATTTCAACAGATAAACCTATTAATTATTTATAGCATGCTCAAGAGTAAACACAGACTGCAGGGAGGAAGCCAAGGCTTTTTAAAGTT